AAATTTCAATGTTAATTGCATAAAAAGTGCTATGAACAGCAAAGGAAAATACCATAATTTATGTTAATGTATCTTAAAAATGCCTTTATGGTTATGGTTTATAAATAAATGAAATACATTTTAAAACATTCTGTAGAAAATGTTTTTTTTTTTGAGTTTTAAAAACAATGAAGCAGAAAATGTGAATTAAAAAATTAAAAATTGTGGCTGCCATATGTGTCAATAAAAATGCTTTTCATGCGAAATTTAACCGCATTTAAATTTTCGCGGTGCAAAAATATTTTATAATTTTTTCCACTTATTTTAAAAACTACAATTCAATCTTTAAAGCATCACTCAAAACGAGAAACCAAAGCAGAATTCCCACGCGTTTGCGGTGTGAAAATGCAAGCACTAAAAAATTATCCACGTGTGAAATTGAAGCTTAAAATTTCAAGGCACGTTTGTTTTTATCCACTTTTCAACAGAATCCAGCACATGTTTTTAACTATATAACATATATGGCTATATGGCTATATATATGCTATATGTATATATGTGCTATATGAACGTATGGATTCATACGTTTGTTTGAGTTTTTAAAATTTCTTTAAACTGTGTTTACTTAGTTTAGCGCAAAAACGTATTTTGGTCGATGTTTTTTGCTCATGTCAACACTTTTTGTGAGCATTTCAAAGGATCCGAGAAATATAATAAAAATTTCACAAGCGGATGCATGCAAAAATTTCTTATAGTTCTAATTTTTTTCTGCAAGTTTTACAGTAAAATTTGTAAATTCCAAGAAAAAACTGTACCACCACGTCAAGGTAAAATTTAATTGAAAAATAGGAAAAACTTACGGTCATGAATTTTTAAATAGTTTTGAATGGGTTTGATAAGAAAGAAAGCTCAAGTTTAAATTTATGCAATGCAGCATTTCAAGTTTTCAAAATCATATCTTCAAAGGTCTTAAAAATGATTTAACATAAATATTTATTAAGAATTAGAAGGGTTCGAATAGCAAAGAAAAGACAACAACAAAAATGGTAATTGATTTATTGAAATTTAGGTGACCATGTAATGCTTATCATCAGTGGTCTTAGGAAATATTCAAAATTTTTAATTAGTTTATAGTCCGTATATAATTATATATGGATTAATGTTTGGGCTGCAAGTGCTCAGCTTTAAACTCGTGCCTATCAAATTAGAAGTGCTGACTAATCGTGTTTTTTCCAAGTAACTAAGGTTGTGCTATTAAATTTTTAAAGTGCACCGAGTGAGTATTTTGATATGACTGACTTTATTTGAAACAATGTAGTGAATGTAGTTCACTAATTTTCGAAACCTCTTTAAAATATTTATAGTTTATTATAAATACTTTTTTGATACTCTGTGTTTTGGGTGAGTATTGAATATGGACCCTCCACACAACAATTTTTTTTTCATCATTTTCAAGCACTTTAAAATGAAACATGTGAAGTAATATACTAATCCTTAAGAAAATATGTAATAAGAGCGTATAATCATATGATATTCTAGTCAATACCTATAAGATATTTTGATTTCTTAAACTTAGAAATCACTCCTTCAAAGCAATTTAAACAATAAACATATGTTATTCTTTTCAATACTGACCACATTTCTTGACATTTCATCTGTGATCATACAATCCAATTTTTATGAATGATAACGACATTCAGATCGAAATCGTCTACATAAGTCAATTCACCATCGTTCTACGTTATTTGATCTGTTATGGAACTTGGACCATCGAACTCGTTTACCTACGTCAATTAACCATCGTTTTGCGTTATTTGATCTGTTATGGAACTTATCCAATATGTTTCACCACATCCGATAATGGCATTATTATAACTTATACTCAGTTAAAGTAATGCACTTTTCAAGTCGCATCGCAAATTATCTCAATTCAACATTGGGACAATCAATTTGGACAATAATTATACCAAATTATCCTGGAAATATATTATGTTCTTAATTAGTGATGAGAACCCAGCTCCACTCGTATTAATTGATATCAGTCTAAAAATAATTTAAAATTTTGTTTTTCTTTTCCAAATGAGAGTTTAAAAATCCATCTGTATTTTACAAAATAAAAAAATAATTTAACAAAAAAAACTATATACTCTCTGAAAAATAATTTGGTTGATTTCAGGTCAAAATATTCTTTTACTTGACGCATCATATTAGTTGAACCATATCACGTGTTGGTTTTCACATCTTCTATACTACATAAGCTGAAATTTTTCTAACTAAATGATCAGGTCAATTTAACTAGTATGTGGTTAGATCATATTTTTCTGAGTGTAGTCATTTATATGATGAAAATTGTAAAAAGCATTAAAACGTGTAGTCATAGCAAAAAAATGTACATAAGTCTATTATAGAGATAGGCCCACATTCTGCAAGTTCCTATTAGGAATTCACTCTAAACCTTATATAGCGTACAGTGCGAGTACTTTATATACATTTATGACCCTCACAACCTAAAATGTTGTTTACAAAATTTTATGTAAACAAACACATAAAGTCCTAAGCGACTTGGTTGGGTGATAGTAGACATATGTTATATCGAAGTTGTGAAACGATTTGTTTCACTTCAGCATAGAGATTCCATGAAGAATCATGCTTTCCAATAGTTATTACTTTAAGTTATGTAGACAATTGATAAACAAAGACCTCTCTCGATAAACGAAAATTTTATTCTATAAGTTCTTTATCATGTCTGTCCTGCTGTACAATGTAGAAACTTGCACAGTAACCAATAGTGTTAAGAAGACATTAAAAATATTGTAGCGCAATATTGTTAGAGAAATCGTGGTGCCATGCATACTGGTGAAGTGTATCGAATAAAAGAAATAAAGAACTTCAAGAATACTGCTATGTTAAAATAATTAAGCGTAAACTAAATCCAAAACATGTACTTCCTATATAAAGATTCTTTGGCATTACCCGAAATAGCTATATGTTCATAAATAATCTCTGTTAATTAAATAAAATTTTACTGTGGTTCATTACTGTTTATTATAATTACAATTATTACAGATATTGTAATGGTATTATAGAACCATTTCATTGCATATTATTATTGCTAGTTTTAAAGAAATAATAAAATTAAAAGTAGTTTTAAATATATTTCACAACAGACTTTCGTTTTATTTTTAATATCTCTCCTCCCAATTTTCAATCACAAATCCAAATATCTCTAGGTTTAATGTTATATGTAGCTATAACATATGCCAGCGTATTGCAACTAAGTCATAATATTAAATTCTGGGCAGTTTCTTATAACTTCATGTATTTGTATGCATTTCTTTTTCGGGTTTTAATAAAGAGAACAACTTCATTTCTAAGAACTTGACTTGCAATAGATTTCTCTCTCTCACTTCTCTTTTTCATTCTAAGAACTTTCTAAGAACATTTCTAAGAACTTAACTTGCAATAGATTTCTCTCTCTCACTGCTTTTTCTAATCATATTATGTTAACAAAGTTCATCATCCGTTTCTTCGCTCTCATCACTGTCATCACTATCATCACATATTATATACACAATAGGGTTTACAATATAATTTTGCCAAATATTACAAACACAATCTGAAAATAATTTCCTTATACATTAATATTAATATTTGATAATAATTTTAAAATTCGAACCTTTGGATTTGATAAAGAATGGCCATATATTAAAGTTTCTAGCTTCAGTATTTGCTCTAGCTCTCTCAGGTGATAAAGAATCATCTATGGAAAAGATAGTGTCATTGTCTTCAACCTGAATAGAATTTTCTGTTGATTCACTTTCTATAATAATAGTTTCACAATGCTGACCCTTGATCAAATTTTCTCCAGATTTTTCTTCTAAAAGAATAATTTCTTGACATTCAATATGATTAGAGTTTATTTTAGGTTCATCTTCCACAATAATTATTTCATGCTGTTGCACTGGTTTAAAAGTTTCTATTGGCTTTATAGTTTCCAATTTCTCCAATATTTCTAACAATTCCTTTTCATCGCCTTTAGATAAGTTTTCCAAAAGAAAATCTTGTGGTGTACAGGTCTCGCATTCGTGAGACATTTTGATTTTTTAACTACTAATTTAGATTTTTTTTAAATAAGACCTTTAAATTTTGAAGAATTTTGCAACTTTTTCTATTTATATTGTTTATATAATATTTTTTTACTTGACATAAATGATGATTTAAACATAATCTAAGGTAAATCGATCATTTTATTTAAGTACTGCATCTTGGTAAATATCCATTTTTCATGAAAAATTCATTTAACAATATGCTGAAGAGAATAACGGTAAGTATAAACATAGTATTGTAAATATATTTTGGTTATATGTATACATTTCATCTAGATCATTTAGGACCACTGCCTTCAACTGCAAAAACTTACAAATATCTTTTTGTGGTAACAGCCGCTTTCACTTAGTCATATATCCCGTAAAAACCAGCTTAGCAGAAGAAGTTCTTAAAAAAACTGCAGCAGCAAAGCGAGATGTTCGGAAACCCTCACTAGTTCATAACCAATAAGGGCACTGCCCTCACTCCAAATAGCTTTAAAACGTATTGTATAATGCAGAACTTTTAGCACCACCTGATAACAACGGGTGTCCCTAGAAGAAACGGAAAAGAAGAGCTTATGAATAAGGTAATAATAGATTTGCTAACCAAACTGTCGCTTGAAAATCCTTTAAGGTGGTACACTTATGTTAGCCATATACAGATGGCGATAAACTCCAGTATTTCCAGAAATCCTGTGTTTCCCTGTGTTTAACACCGAATGTCACAATATTTGACAATACTTCGAAGAAGAAATATTAAACAACTTCGAGAAATACCGACGTTGGATGCGCCAGGAAGCCAAAGAAGAAATTCTAAAGGTTTAACTAGAAAACAAAACGCAATTTGACAAAAAACGTAAGGAAGCTATCCGTTATCACGTTTGAGACTCATTTGCTATACTTGGAACGCAGTTTGGATCTCAGCTTATTATTTTACTTGAGCCCTTATAAAGTCACTAAAGAAAATAAAAACGATTATTATGAATGAAAAAGGTAGATTCACACGAAGGACCAAAACTAACGTCTACCATCACTGAGCAAATGAAAGCTTGGAGTGATTACGGTGAGAGTGGAGCTGAGTCGTCTGAGACAGACGACGGACAACGAGTCGGATGAACTAGTGTAGATAAAGTAGCTTAATAGGGTAGATAAGGCAATGAAAAGAAAGCAAAGATTAGAGAAGGAAAAGGTAAGAGAAGAATAAGCTAAGCTAAGTTGAGCTAAGAGTTTTTTTTTTTGTGGGAAGACAATAAAGAGTTTAATTGTATATAATAAAAATATTTATAAAATAAAGCTCCAATAAGTTAAAAATTAAATATAAACTTGAATAAATGATACAAACCATTAAGAAATATTGCGTAGGTTTTTGGATTAACCACATATATATATATTTATTATTATTCATATCCACAAGGAAAAGTTAAAATATTTACTTAACTATTTTTTATAAAAATTATGTATTACTTATTTTAAATCAGAATATAATGGAGAAATAGTCTCCCGGTGTAACAGAACACCACGACCTTAGTTTTCTTCTTTTGTTACTATTGATATTAACAAACGAATAGATGCCATTTAAACTTACTATTTTAATAAAGGCTAGATTGTCCTCCTATTTGGAGCTCCTAACAGAATATGACAATAAGGGAACAGAATATGAGACGACTTAATACATTTCTTCTAATTGTAATCCACACAGTCAAATAGATTGTTTCTTTAATTCTCAATCCCTTCCACCTAGTGCAGGTCAAGAGATCCCTTCAAATAAACTGCCATCAACTATGGTTCTTTTTTTATTAATAATTTACGTGTACCTAAATATAAACCTATATATTACCTATATATGTAAAGATATACCAAGAAATATTGATAACCTGGTAACATTTATGTAATAGTGACAACTATGAAAAAAGTACTTAACATCCCGGTTTTCCACAGTTTTTGGATGCATCACTTATTATATATTTATAGATTAAATATTTGTAAAATGCTATTCTGATTTTATAAGTTGTTTAATAAAATAACAGCAGAAAAATACACTTTTGGTATAACTACATATTGCATTACTTTGATAATGTACTATTGTATTGAAAAGATTGGTTCACCCCTATAGTCAGGGTTGCCACTTGAAAATTTTTTTCTGTGCCAAAATTGGTTTAAAAAGGTACCATTTCTGTAAAAAGAGGTCCAAAATTTTTCTATTGTCTTTTTATAAGAAAATACAATTTATATAAAATGTACAAAAAGTATAAAACAATACAATATCCACAATAAAGTTGGGTCGCCGAAAATGTACCATTTTTTGAACATGAGTACCAGAGTACCAAACGGGAAAAAAAGTACCAATTTTGGTACTAAAGTACCATAAGTGGCAACCGTGCCTATAGTTACAATAAGATATCCTTCTTCAGCAGAACAGAGTTGAGGTTGCTGGTGCGATATCTAATGGGTCACCACGAGTCCCTACGTTACCATCCCAACAAAATGGGCCTGTCCGAAGAGATAGATCGTAGGAGAGGAGACAACCACCCACACTCTATATGACTGCCCAGCCTTGATCTGGGCCAGGAGGAGGTTACTAGGTCTGGAATTGCTCTCCCCTTCCGACATTAGGAGGTCCTTAACGGCCGACATTTTAGCCTTCATCCGGAAGGCGGAATGTCTGCTGTTCAGTTAAGGTCTGTTGTAGCACAAGAGATCAATCATAATCGCAGTGCTCTCCTCCAATGGGAGCTAGTACCCCGTTGTTTCTTATCTTATTGAAAAGTTACAATACTTATATTTATGTTTACGTTTGTCTTTTAAATATCTCTATAGCACAGGAATGGAATTCAAATGACAATTTTAATTCTTCGGCACAAGATGTTTAAATTATTTGTTTAGGCAAAAGAATATTTATTCATTGTTGCCCATTATATTATATTGTGTATGTGAAGGGGACGTAACTCATCATATCAATATTACCAAAATAATATTAATTATCTAAAAATAAATTATATGGGAGATCAGTCCATGGCACATAACAAGCTACATCAATCACTCACAAAAAAAAATTAATTAAAACATAACAATTTTATATTGAATAATATATAGGTATATTCATATAGTACAAGACAGATTGTGTGAAGAACAGTATTACAATTATTTATTTCGTATTAATAAAATAATTTGCTAGTGACGCTTAAAAAAAATGCAGTCATTAAGAAAATTTCCCCTCAAAAATCAAATTAATTTATCAAATTTATTCATATCCTACAGTTCAAGGTTTGAACTAAATCCAAAGCACATTAAATATCGCATAATAGACAATACACCATACATTATAAACATTTTATTCAAACTCAATTACAATTATTATTATTATGACATTTATCTTTTAGCTTTTATTTAAAAAGCAATACAATTCCTTTCTTGTGGCTCTTGAAAATAAAAAAAAAAAAAACAAGTTTTGCTCATAATTCAAATATATATATTGAAAGGTTTTCAAAAACCAAAACAAATCTGATGAATCCAAAGCACGTACTTAAAAAATTCTGTATTAAAATAACTAACAACATATATGATATCATACTTTCGAAGGATTTTATTTAAAATATAATTTAAACTTAATGAGAATTATTATTATAAAAAATTATTAATAAAACCAAATAACTTTGTTTAGTTGATGACTCTCGAAAACTCAAAATTTCGACATTTTATTAATTAGAGGATTCAACTTATAAAATTCAAAGGTTTTGCAAAAAACCAAAACAAGAAAATACTTAAAAAGAATTTAATTCATGTAAAGAATTTAAGAAATTTTATATTAAAATATATAACAACATACGTCATAATTTTTGAAGATTTTACCCAAATATTATTTAAACTTAATGAGAATTATTATGGCAAATGACTTTACTAAAAGCAATACAACCACTTATTTTGTTTAGTTTGTAGATCTTTAAAATAAAATAAAAAAAATTTACATAAAAGTCACATATATTTATTGATCAACGTTAAACTTATAAGGTTCAAAAGGTTTTCAATATTTTTCAAAATAAAAAAAGAAATTTATAAATCCAAAGTACTTGAAAAATTTTACATCAAAACAGCAAACACACAACGCAGTTTCAGAAGATTTTATGGAAAAGTGTTTTTAAACTCAATAAGAATTATTATGGCAGTTTGCGTCTCTTTAAAATAAAATAAAGAAGTTTTACACAAAAATTACTTATATATATTGACCAAAGTTTTTCAATATTTTTCAAAACGAAAAAAAAAATTTATGAATCCAAGGCTCTTAAAAAATTTTACATTAAAATAGCAAACACAAAACGCACTTTCTAAAGATTCTACTCAAAATTATATTTAAACTCAATGAGAATTATTATGACAGATGGGTATAATAAAAGCAATACAATTATTTTTTTTACATGAATGAAATGATTTACATGTGAATATGAAACAAAATTGATTGCTGTCATTGCACGAAAACAAGACGACCGAACTAATGTTATAGTATAATAGTAATTATAATAAATTATAATATTATAGTAGCTAAAACTACTTCTGTTAACGAAATTTAGATTTAGTCGTTCCCACAAGCATAAGCTTATTTATGCTCCACAACTTTTTGGTTTACCATTACCTTACATTACAATAATAGGACAATTCTGGCAAAGATCGTTATAAGTCTTTCGAGAGATATTTGTAGGATCGACCGAAAGAGCGTTTGTAAGATTTTAGCTATTCTGGCACAAAAGTGTATGTTTAATGTTTAATTTGTAATTCCTGGTAGAAAGCTGTTTTGTTCTATATCTTTCGTGGTGGAATCTAAAACAACTGCTAATCGCTATCACATGCAAGTAAACATTAAAAAAAAATTAAAAAAAGTTAACTTAAAAATGCACAAAAAGTCAAACATTTCTTTATGATCTTTATCATTTCTATCTGTAATACCCAAAAATAAATCCAAGTTTTCCGTAAAATTTTTCCTTCTAATAGCCAAATGAGAAAGCTAAAAGTCTTCGCATTTTATATTTTATACCTATTTAGAAATCACTGAAAAATTACGCAAAATATGATATTCAATATAT